CAAAAAAAAAAAAAAAAAAAAAAAAAAAAGGAACTCAAATGTGATACACACACCTCTTCCCGTTCCTGAGCTCCTGGGCAGGACTGCATCCCTCACAGCTCAAGTGGCACTTCTGACTACCTCTCAAGAGCACAAAGGAGCCGACACAAAAGACAGGTGTTATAAAGTGGGGCTGTGTGAACACTACAGACCCATGTGGCACTGGGGGCTGAACCTGGGCCTGACTCTGAGCTCCATCCCAGCCCTTTATTTAGAGAGTGAGAACCCTGCTAGATTGACTTAGTCCTGTGCTGCCTGTGCAAAATGTCTAGTAGAGGCAAGCCCAGAGAAAGCAGACACACCAGGGTCCTGGGAGCCGGGACAACCCACAGTGCAGGCACAGGCTCAGAGAGTATGGGATGCCCCGGAGTCAGGGAGGGCAGAAAGGGGGTGAAGGCAGAATTTCAGGAATGCACTCCAGAAGCAATAGTGTGGATCCCAAGAGGGACAGGACACATGTAGTGAGTTGGCTCTCCTTTAGGAAGGACTGGCCCACTCTACAAGAGAAAGGGACTTGTTCTTTTCTTAAAAAGATGAGTGATCTAACGTTTTGCCTAAAAGCATTCTTTGAATCCTGCCCAGCATTTCTCTCTCCAGGTCCGGGTTTTGCTCTTTATCAAGGAAAAGCTATCTTGAGGATTTGGGGTGGTGTGGCCAGCACTATGGTCAGAAGGGGTGAGTGTTACTGGGTGTGGTGGTGGTGCACACCTGTGACCCCAGCTACTCAAAAGGCTGAGGCAGGAGGATCCAAGGGTGAGGCCAGCCTGTACGAATTGTGTGTGTGTTGGGGATTGAACTTGGGCCCTTGTGCTTGTGAAGCAGATAGCAGAACCAGTGCCCCGCCTGTGCAATTTTGCAAGACCTTACTTGAAAAAAAAAAAAAAAGCCAGGCATGGTTGTGCACAAGTGTGGTAATCCCAGCACTCTTGGGAAGCTGAGGCAGGAGGATCACTGTTGAGTTCCAGGTTAAGTCTCAACTACATAGTGAGACTGTCTCAAAAAGCCAAAAACAAAACGAACTATAAATGTAGTTCAGCGTGCTCCACCCTGGGTTCAACCTTCACCACCACACATACATAAGATCTTCTGCTGTTACTTTTTAAAATGTGGAGGGCAGATGTTCGGTGTGAGGGCTGGGACTCTTCCCTAGAGTAGCACTCTGCATACGGTCCCTGAGAGATGGAGTCAGGGCTGCAGGTTACTGTGGAGCCCACCTGGGAAACCTGGGTGCACTCAACTGCTTTCCCAGCCTGAGGGTCTCTTACACAGCCAAGTTGCCCAGGCTAGGCTCATACTTGAGATCTTCCTGCCTCAGCCTGCCAGAGTAATACTCACCAGTTATGCACCATCACGTGGGGCTTCTGTAACCCTTTAGACGTAAAGCTATTCTTAGCTCCCAAATTTGGTCCCCTGTGCCATGGCTGGCCAGCTCTAGCCCTAGGACTACATGGCTCCCATCCTGGGACAATTTGGAATACCGAGACAGGGATCCACGCCCCCTTAGGGAAACTGTTGAGACAGGGTCTTGATGTGCAGTTCAGGCTGGCCTCAAACTCATGGCAATTCTCTAGCCGCAGCCCCCCCAATGCTGGAACCACAGGTGTGCGCCACTACAACCAGCCTCTAGGGTCACGACCCACAGGACATCACTCCCCCGAGTTGTGATACCCTCGAACATGCCACGGCCAAGGCTGCATCCCACCCAGGATCCAGTACTCAAGTGTGCAGACCCTTACGCCATGTACCGTGACCACACACCCAAGCAGTCCTGGAAGGGCAGGCCGGGCTGCACCCTGCACTCTCCTAAGGCTGCCTGGTCTGTCCGCATCGACCTTCCCTCCTGGCCAGCGAACACCAAGGGACCGGGGAGGGGTCGCAGCCAGGTTGAACCCGTGACTGTGAGGTCAGTGCCTGTGTCCACTGGTCCCACTCACAGTGAGGGAACATCTCTTCCAAAGCAGATATGAAGCAGTGAGGGAGGCTTCTATTGTTATAGAGAAAATCCCCAAATGGACCCAATCGTGATTTTTTTCCCCCAGCACTGGGGAATGAGCCCAGGGCCACTGCACTGAGCTACAGCCCCAGCCCCTTTTTGAACAGGGTCATAGTAAATCACCCAGGCTGGCCTCAAATGTGTGATCTTCCTGCCTCAGCCTCCTAGCATGCTGGCTGAACAAAGGCAGCATCAATAGACAGGGCCTGAAGCACCGTGGATCTCTGCCGTGCAGCATCATTTCTTAGTATGAATGACTCCTGGGCGCATCATGCACCCGTGTGGCAGCACCCAGGAGCTTTCCAGCCAGGTGCAGCGGGGACAGGACCAGAAGGGAACACGAGCACACCCTGGCCTCTCTTCATGTGTCAGGCTGGCTGGCAGGGAAAGGCCTCACTGCTGGGCCAGAAAGAGAGAACGCAGCCTGTCCTGAACCTTGCCCCAGTCCCAGCACCCCAGAGGCTTCCTAGATCTCCCAGGAGACTTGACCAGCACTCAGCTGTCACCCCGCCCCGTCCAGAGATGACAGCTTCTCCCTGCCAAGGCCTCTGTGACTGCCTCCGTGGAGAGGCTGGGGTTCACTTTCCCTGATTCCCTGGAGTCCAGTGAATGGGGTGCACAGTGGAAGTCGGGCAGTCAGGCTGAGCTGCAGGAGGAAGGCGGGCCGGTGAGTGGAGCAGGATGCCACAGCCCAGTCCCCGCAGTGCGCAGGCCTCGGCTCTCAGAGCCCCTTGTTGAAGTAGATGAAGGATGTGTGTTTTCCACCCCTGGCCTTGACAGTGTCCTGCAGCTCTCGCTCCAGACAGGAGACTGGCAGCTCACTGCAAGGAGGGCAGAAGGACTCTGGGTGTGGCACCCACAGAGAGGCCGATTCAACTGTCACCTCCAGGGAGCCCCCAGACTTCCCGCTGCAGCTCACTGACACCCTGCCCAATGCTCCCTGTACTCTGCCTCTGCCTTCTCCCTGTGCAAGTCCTTGGCTAAAACTTTTGACCCCTCCAGGATTACAAGTAAAATGCTCAGGATCCTGAGCTGGATGCCAGAGCCAGGAGACTGGCACCCTCTCCTCTTGGCACCTACCCAAGCACACCAGCTCCAGGGGCCAGCCGGCTCCCACCGCAGACTGATGTCCCTGTCCCTCCCCAGCCCTTCTAGGACACACAGGGGAGCAGAACCAGAACAAGCACCTTATTTGACTGTAAACACCAGGTCCAGCCCGGGAAACTTCCTTATGACCCCACCAGCAAGAAATCGCTTTTTTTCCCCAGTACCAGAAATCAAACTCAGGACTTTGCATTTGCGAGGCAGGCAAGGTGCCACTGAGCTACATCCCAGGCCCAAGAATCACTGTGTCCCCACCACCTCTAGGCAGCCCTTAATCCCCTTCCTAACTTCTCTGCCCCTTGGCAATCTGGCTGGTTTGCCATTTACCAGGGGTGAAGGGGCCCAGAGTGCTGCCCTTGCTGTCCTGTCCCTCTGCTGAGGCCCAGGGGAGCAGTGGCACACTGTGGTCTATGAGAGGAAGCAGGAGACAAACAGGCTATACCATGTCTGTGGAAAGAGTGCACACGCCACTGGCACCATGAACAGGAGGCTGTAGGAAGGAAGACAGAGCTATTAACGAGGTCCCTGTCCCAGATCCCAGCAGGAAGCGGGGCTACCCACACCTAGCCTGCCTCCCAGCGGCAGCCCCAGTCTTCCCCTCTATCCTTTCTTCCACCGCACACCCAGGTCCCAGACAGGGAGGAAGATAATGTGACCAAGGTGTGGGAGGAGCCGCTCGGAGGTGGCTGTGCCACGGCGGCCTCCTGAGGGTGCTGACACGGCTGTGTCTGCCTGCGCCAGGGCTAGCTAGGCCTCGCCTCTCTTCTCTCCTATAAGAGCGAGCGAGGGCTTGAGGCCTGGGCGGGGAGGATGGAAGGGTGCACACCCGAGCCTGCACATGTGTGTATGCATGAAGAGTGCGTCTCTGGCACCTAGGAGGACGAGGAGGAACAATCCGGATGATCACAGGTGTCCAGAGCCACAGGGAGCACCCAGCCCACCGCCCCAGGCCAGCAGAGCCCCTTACTCACAAGCATCCAGACAGCGCGACCTGCAGTGGCGCGTGCAGCACCTTGGCTTTCTGCACAAAGACAAGCAACAGAGATCCACGTGGGATGCCACCACCCCGAGGCGAACCCATACCTGCCCTGCCAAGGATCAGCCAGCCCAAAGCAGCAGCAGCTGGAGCCCTGGCTCTGCAGGAGGCCCTGAGTGAGATGATGCTGGAGGGCAGGAGGGGAGGGCCAGACCTGGGAGAGTATAACGGGAACTGTGCTGACCTTCATGAAGCGCAGTTTCTCCAGCCTTTCCATGATGACCGGCAGCAAGACTGAAAGAGAGCAGGGCAGATGCTGAGGGAGACCCAGGAGTCCCCCGGATGCGCAAGGCCCTCTCAGGGTGTACCCCTGTGCCAATGGGCCCAAAGCCTCCTCCCCAAAACTAAAACTATCTCTGCAGGTTCACACAAACACATTCTGTATCTTGCTCTGCGATGAGCAGACCATGACAGGAAACGTCTCTGCTACTTCTGCACATCAAGAATGGTTTGAATGACTATGGCTTCAAGGAAATAACATTCTCCTCCCAATCTCTAATTAGGTGATGACCTGGACTCCTACTGGAAGCTTATAAAAAATTCTTAAATTTTCTACTACTCTAACAAATCTTTTTTTTTTTTCCTTCCAGTACCAGTGATTAAACTCAGGACCTTGCGTTTGGAAGGCAAGTGCAGCACCACTGGGCTACATCCCCAGCCCTGTTGTTGATCTGGGAACTAGTGGAGCTCTCATGGGCTTGCAGCCTCCGTCCAAACCAGTTGAAGAAGCCTGGCTCTGGAGGCTGGGGTCCCACTACCTACCCCTGCCCTCCAGGGTCCCATAGGAAGGGAGGGTCCCCCTCTTACTCATGCCAGGAGCCGCCATGGTGATCCTGGAAATAACCACTTGGGTGATGCCTACAGCCGCAGCTCTCTGAGGGCAGAGAGGAGCAGTGATCAGGAAGGACTTACCCAGTGCAAAGGGGCTGCAACAGAGGGCAGGGCCAGGTCGTGGCCAAGTCCCAGTTACCTTCAGAACCAGAAATGGTGGAAGAAAGACATAAAAGCTGGGTGTGGTGGAGCACACCTATAACCCCAGCCCTCTGGTAAACTGGGGCAAGGAGGGTCACAAGATCGAGCTCAGCCTGGGCAACTTCATGACTTAGTGAGACCCTGTCTCAAAATAATTCCAGCACTCTGGGAGGGCTGAGAGAGGAGGATCACAAGTTGGACCAGCTTAATGAGACATTATTTCAAAATATAAAATAAAAACAGGGCTAGGGGTGTACCTCAGTGCCAAGACCCTGGGTACAATGTCTACCACCACAAAAAAAAAGAATGAATAAACAGTAAAAAGGTCTAGGGACCCAGCCTAGTGCAGAGGCCTGGGTTCAATCTCCAACAGTGAAAAAAAAAAAGACATAAGAGGCCTGTTCTCAACAGAGAAATGCAGGGAAAACTGATGGGGATGAGGGCCAGAGTCAGGAAGAAGCCTTCTTAACCCTCTAATGGCACCCAGGCTACTCTGAGCATGGAGAGGGTTGGAGAAGCAGCTCCCTCCCACCACCTAAGAGGTCCCTGGCTCACCTGGGAATGGCCAACCTCATTCTGGTTCTTGTCCTTCACAGAGATGCCCTGGATGAGTTCCCTGGACAGAGACAGGAATTGTTGAGTCTGGGAAAGGAGTGCTGGGAGCCACCCAGGCCTTGAAATATCCCAAGGACTGGGCCAGGGCACGAAGGTCAGGGACAGCCTGGCCCTCTGGCCTCCTTCTTCACTCTGTAAGTGGTGTCTCAGAAGCGGTCTGGGTTAGTTAGAGGCTATGGGAGCTGGCCCTGGGCCCACACTGCCTCGGGTGATTCCTGCGACCACAGAATACGTATGTGACTCTGAGCCTTAAACTTTCTGAAGCCTCAGTTCTCTTCATCTGAAGAATGGGATAATCCTTCAGAGGACGGGTGAGGACCACACAAAATAATGCCTGACCAGTGCTTAGTCTAGCCCTGGGCACCGGGCCTCTCCCCAGACGGGCTGCTCTGGCTGCTCTTCTCAGGCCGGCTCTTGACAAGCTGAGACCAAGTAGTCAGGTGGCTTCAGTCATCGCTGGGAGAGAGCTGAGTGGGGAAAAAAAGGCCTGCTGTTCACTGGAGCCCTTCCTCTAAAGGCTGTGGAGGCCCTTCTCCTTTTGCTAGTGGCCTCCAGGTAATATGGCACGGGTGACAACAATGGCAGCGACACACGCTCACACTTCCAGGGCATCCGTTATGTTCAGGTGCTGTCTGGTAGCTCTGTACATGCTGCACCTCACAGCCCCGGGCAGAGGAGTATCTGTGCACCTCCAGCAGCCTGAGCTGAGCTCAGCTCAGTGATCCCCAGCTACAGGAGGCCCTGGGCTCCACCCTAGCGCTGCAGAAAAAATGAGTAAAAATCAAAACTGTGAGAGTTTCTCCTCCACTTTTTCTGCTGAGGAGATTATAGAGGCAGGTGCCTAGAAAACATCAATCCACTCCCTGGCTTTTCTCAAGTTTCTCAGTTCTATGCTACCTTTAAGTGGCTCACTCTGCCAGAATTCATTTAGAATGCCATCCCCAGGCCTTTGGGAGCAGGCAGAATTCACAACTCTAACCACAGCTGCAGTTGAAAGGACAGGATCTAACCAGGCATAGTTGCACACAGCCATAATCCCTGCACCTGGGAGGCTGAGGCAGGAGGATCATTGTGAATCCCACACCATCCTGGGCTACACTATGTGAGACCCTGTCTCAAAAATCAAGAAAACAGCCAGAGGGGCCGGGGATTTAACTCAGCAGTTCGGTGGCCTGCAAGTTCAATCCCCGGTACAAAAAAAAAAAAAAGAAAAAAGAAAAAAAGAAAGAAAAGGGCCAGAGATTTAGCTCAGTGGTTCTGGGCCTGCCTCGCAAGCACAAGGTCCTGAATTCAATCCCCGCTATTGTGAAAACAAACAAACAAACAAACAACAAAACAGGATATAGTATAAAAGCCTGAGGATCTACACTCCCTCTCCCCTTACCATGCAGGAAAGGGCACCCACAACACTTGGATATTGACTAACCTTACGGATCCTTACTCTGCAGGTGTGACTGGCTCTCAGGGACCTTCAAAGGCTCAGCCCGGTGGCCCTGTCCACTGCCTTGGGCTCCGCCCTTCCCTGGCTAAGCTGCTATGGGAGGAGAAGGGTACCCTCTACTCACTGCTGTCGCATCATCGGGATATTGACACAGTTCGCAGAAGCCACGGCAGCGAAGGGTACCCAGCGGCACACCAAGGGAGGAGCTCTCTGTTGGGGAAAGGATCCAACAGGAAAATTCAGATGGGCATGGATGGAGGGAGCTCTAGAAAGAAAGTGGGACCCTGCTACTGCCACACATCCATTCAGACTGGGGATCCCAGACTCCAGCAAAAACCCAAGAAGGAAATACCTGGGGACAGCCCCACTGTTTTCCCTAGGACTCTGCTGCCCCCCAGTGGCCACCACACCCGCCGCTGCCCCAGACCACACCTTTGTCCATACGTTCATGCCCACAGCAGTGGCCACTGCAGTGGTTGTGGCTGTGAGGTAGGAGAAGGTCATCTGCCTAGGGGAGGAGAGGTTGGGTGAAGGCTGAGACACTGAGAGAAAGACTCACGCTGCCTCCAGCCTGCTGGCCCGCTTGGTCTTTCTCAGCACTTTAATATCCCCAAGTCTTTGTCAGCCAAACCGTGCAGTCCCCCTGCCCCGGCAGTGTACACACAGAGAGGTGGTGACTGGATGCACAGACAGCTCGGATTGGTCTGGGAGATGCTCCCCTGGTCAGTCAAAGAAAATATTCCAGCCCTGGAAAGGGGTGACTCACCCACCTGCCCAGTGTGGCCCTTTGCAGGAAGCTCAGCTGGGGCTCAGGTCTCCTACCTGACCGACATGGGGGACGCCGCATTCCTGTTGGTGTAGTTGACCAAGGCGTTGAAGGACTGGTTCACCCACTGCCAGAAGATCACCGCTGGCACAGTCCTGCCGGGGCAGGTGGGAAAGGAGAGGGTGGCAGGCAGGGCATGGGACTCCCCACTCACCGCCCGGGGGCTCCCCCTTTGCTCTGTGCACTGGCCTTTGGACAGCCAGGCTGAGCCCTCGGCCTAGAATATGCACCTATCTCCTTCTACATGGGGCCAAACCTGCTGCTCTGCTGAGACCCCCCTCCCTTCCTCCCTCCCTCCTCAGAACCTTCCGAGATGGACAGCAACAGGACACAGGACGGGTGGGCAGAGTCATGGCCAGCCCACCTCAGCCGGCCCAGTTACAGCACGGACCATGGAGCTCCTCAGGGCTTCTGAATCTTAACCTTTTTATCATATCTTGGTGAGAATCCAAGGAAAAGCAAAAAATTGGCATGCCTGTCCTCCAGAGGGAAAACTGAGGGGTTCTGTCTTTGGGGCTCTAGGACTCAGGCACTGTGGCATCAGGGTAGCAGAGGCGCGAATACTGTCTGCTGCAGAGCTAGCCCCGCCACAAGCCCTGCTCCCATCTCAGTCTGTTCCGCAACCTAACATTTACTTTCCAGTCTCCACAAAGCTCTCTGGGCGGGAGACTACAGTCTTCACACTGCCACCTGGCCCGAGGCCAGCTCAACAACTGGACAGTGAACGGGTGGGAGGAGGGAGGGAGTGGATGGGGAGGAGAGTCACATCCAGGCTGCACAGAACGTTCATTTCCTCCCAACCAACCCATAAGAAAGTTTTTTTTAACAAAAAACTTGGCTATTACAGTATAAAAGTAACAACATTCACTGAGAAATAATTAGTACTTTTTAATCTTTTGAGACAGGATCTCACTGTGTAGCTCAAACTAGCCTTGAACTGAAGATCCTCCTACCTCATCCTCCCAAGTGCTGGGATTACTGTCATGCACTACAAGCCTGGCTGGGAGGGCAGGGGTTGAGACAGCCTCGATGTGCAGTTCAGGCTGACCTGGAACTCACTATGTTACCCAGGCAGGTCTTGAATTCACAGTGATCCTCCTGCATTGACCTCCTGAGTACTGGGATCGCAGGCATGAGCTACCATAGGCAGCCTAGAACTTAAAGCTGGGCATGGAGGTGCACACTTGTAATTGTAGCACTTGGGAGGCTGAGGCAGAAGGATCACTGCAAGTTCCAGGTCAGACTGAATTCCATAGCGAGACCTTGTCTCAAGCCACCCACCTCAGAAAAAAAAAAAAAAAGACAGAGAGACTTAGAATAGCTTATCTGTTGAATTCTATTGAGGACTGCCCCTGTTAAAATCCAGGTACCCATATTTCCTTACTGTGTGAATCTGGACAAATTACTCAGCCTCTGTAGGATTCCATCTATAAAACAGGATGGCACTAGTGCAGTACCTATGGATAGGGTGCTGGGAGAGTTAAAGGAGGCACACACGTCAGCACAGTGCCTGCTCTCTGGTAAGTGAGCAGCCAAGGGCACTACTGCTACTGGCAGCCTGTGGCTGGGCTGAGTGATAGGTGCAAGAGGCCCTAGGTTCAGCTCAGCACCAGGGGGAAAGAAAGCTGGCTCCCTGCCTAGAAGACCCAGGCGCTGCACCCCGCTTGGCTCCCAGGGCACACCTGTAGAAATGCAGCATGAAGCCTGTGATGATCATGCCGCCGGGGACCTGGAAGGACATCCGCCCGATCACATTCATCTTCTCCCCAGTGTCGGGGTGGAAGGCCGAGTCATACAGCTTCTTAGCATACAGCAGTTGCTCCACTTGGGTGCCTGGGGGCACGGCCCCCATCCTAAAGGACAAGGGCAACAGGCAGATGCCTTCCCTTCTCTTCCCTCCTGGGGGCCTTCACTTTCAGTGTCTGCTTCCCCTAGCATGGACTCCCCTAGTGCCTCGGGTGTTCCCCTGACCACTCACCTGCTCTGCTCCACCATCGCCTTGGCCCAGTCCAGCTTCCATTCTGGCAGCAAGATGGTGCGTGGGTCTGTGATGCTCAGGAAATATTTCACACGCCCCAGGAACGTGCGCTGGTCCCAGCGGGGGTCATCGATGTTAAAGCCAGACAGGTCCCCCTCCATCGTGCTCGCACCCAAGACTGCAGACTCCGGGGACAGAGGAGGAATGAGGGCGTCCCCAAGTCACAGCCACCCTGGAATCCCCGGCACTGCCCGTCTTGCCCAGCCCCCATGCACGGGCACCAGGCTCCCACGTGCGCCCTGATGCCTGCTCTCGCCCAGAGCTGTGGGAGCCACTGGGAGGGAACCAGATGGTGCTTGTCCCTGGGGAGCTCAGACCTGCCCAGGGGACAGACACTGTCCCCAGTCTCCTGGCAGGGAGTAGGGGAGGGCTGCTGCCCTTTCACCCAGACCTACCCATCCTGGGAAGGGTACTCAGCACCCTCCAGCCTTTGAGCCTCAGCCAAAGGCAACCAGGGGAGGGGAAGGAAGGCTGAGCAGCGGTGAAGGGTGGCCAGCCAGGCCACAGCAGACACCTCCCCTACTGCCAGGTCCCTCCTCCAGGTCCAGAGCAGCCAGGGTCATCCCAGAGGGACAGTGGCCTGGTGATAGGGGATGGGTTAGCTCAGTGACAGAGTGAGGCCTGGTTCAATCACCAGCACAAGGGGCAGAAAAAAAAGAAAAGTCTGAAACCAAAAGACAATAGGGAAGGCAAAAACAAGCACACCAAGGAAATTTCAGAAGCGACACCTACAGCTACAGCAGACAGTACTGTACTGTACGACACATGGCACAATACCTAGCAAGACCCACCGAAGCTGCCCACCAAAGGCCTGTCTAGCTCAGGGCCTCTTACTAGGAACTTCAGCTGCGCTGCAAGAAAAAGCAGCATGGCTCACAGAAAGGTAAAAACACAGGTTGTGCTGGAAGAAAGACAAGAAAGACACCTTCACCCTAGACCTCTGTATCCAACAACATTACGCTTAGACGCTGTTGAACAAATAAAGCTGAGGGACTCTGACGTCAGCAGACCTGATCTACAAAAAGCTGAAAGCAGTTCTTCATGGGGAAATTACAGTACAGGTCAGAAACTGAAATCTACAGAAAGAGACTGTGTCAGAGAGGGAGTAAATGAAATAAAATAAAATCTTTTCTTATCTTGGATTCTTAACAGTTAACAAACAAAAGCTTGCTGAAAATATTAATAGCAGTAGTAGGGCCAGGAATTTAGCTCAGTGGTGCTGCTGCCTGCCTTGCAAGTATAAGGTCCTGGGTTTGATGCCCAGTACAAAAAAAAAAGGCATTAGTGTTCAGTGATTGTAGTTTATGAATAAGCGAGACAAGTGACACCAATGACATGGCAGAAGGGCAAGCCGGGCACTCACTGGAGTAAGGTACTCCGCCACCAGTGCTCCTTCGGAGTGGACATGGCTCAGCTGGAATACCGCAAACTGCAGGACAACCATTAAAAACATTTTCAAGATTAGTATAATTGAGGAGAGAAAATGGTAACACTTTTCGCTTTCCTGGTACTGGAGATCGAGCTCAGGACTTTGAGCTTGCCAGGCAGCTGTGGCGCCACTGAGCTACATCCCCACCCATCACACATTTTTAAAAAGCAGAGTTTTTAAATTTTTGTCTGAAAAACTCAGTAAGGCATTAAAGGATAACTGAATAAAAAGAGAAAACAGCAATGTGTAGTTAGGAAAACATCCTGGGCAATCATGAGAATAGACAAATGGTGTGGTGGGGCCTTCCCAGATACAGGTAGCGGAGCTGGAAGGGACCAACAACCCAGGCAGTGAGAGAGAAGAGTCAAATTAACTGAGATACACTGAGAAAGGGCCCCAAGCATGGAGCCTTTTACCTTTTTTGTTGCTGTTGTTTTGTTTTGTTTTTTTGAGACAAGGTCTCACTATGTAATTGAGACTGACCTGGAACTCACTATGTAGCCCAGGCTGGTCTGGAACTCACAGCGATCCTCCTGACTCAGCCTCCTGGGTGCTGGGATTACAGGCATGTGCCACCACACCCATATATGGAGCCTTTTAAAGAAGCACTTTTCCTTTTTTTTCTTTTTTTGGTACCAGGGATCGAACTTGGGACCTTGTGCTTGCAAGAAAGGCAGCTGAACCACTGAACTAAATCCCTGGCCCCTAAAGAAGCACAATTTTATGTAGGCTAAGCATGAGCACAGGGGGAATACTGTGTCCACCATGGTCAAACCTGGAAAAGAAAACAAGCCCAGCCCAGCATCGCTTGGAGCCTCCAATTCAGAGAAGCCTACTCATCCCGCATAAGTTTTCTCTGCCAGACACTGTGGCAGGCACCTGTAATCCCAGGACACTGGGAGGCTGAGACAGAAGGATCTCAAGTACAAGCCCAGCCTAGGCAACTTAGCAAGACCATGTCTCAAAATTTAAAAATAAAATAAAGAAGACTTAAAAAGGTTCTGATTAAGTCATGCCACACACAATAATATCCTTTTTGATTAATTTTAGGCTAACCAATTAAGTGACTTTTAATTACATCTATAAAATACCTCCACAGCAGCACCTAGCTTAGCATTTGACTGCAGAACTGGGAGGGCTCTCAGAGCCCAGGGCAACTGGGAACATAGGAGGAGGGACTCCTGGGAGTCTTGTTCAGGCTAGCCATAGTCAGTACATATCACAAGCATTTAAAAAGACACTGGGAGCCGGGGATTTAGCTCAGCGGTTGGGTGGCCTGCCTTGCAAGCGCAAGGACCTGAGTTGAATCCCTGGTACCAAAAAAAAAAAAAAAAAAAAAAAAAAAAGACACCGGGACTACAGTAAGGTGGTGAGGCAAAATATTAAAAATATAAGCTTTGGCTTGAGGTGAGGTTGTAGGTCAGCACCAGAGCACATGCCTAACACGCACAGAGCCCTGGGTTGGATCCCTAGCACCATCAAAAACTAAAGGCTTTAAAAGAGAACACAATGAATTTAATCTTCCATGTGCTGAGTTTCAAGTGCTAGGGGACTACTGTGGTACTGGGCATGGGACCTTGCATTTGTGAGGCACGTGCTGTGCCACTAAGCTAAATCCCCGGCCCCCAGCCCTTTTTATTTTTTTTATTTTGAGATAGTCTCAGTAAGTTGCCCAGGCTGGGCTTGACCTGCGCTTTTTTTTTTTTTTTGGTACCAGGGATCAAACTCAGGACTTTACACATTCAAGGCAGGTGATGGAACCACTGAGCTAAATCGCTGGCCCATTGGGATTCAGCTTGTGATCCTCCTACCTCAGCTCCTCAAGTAGCTGGGATTACAGGTGTGCACCCTGCACTTGGCACAGGGGACCTTCTTAAATGCAACAGGCTACCCCCATCTCAGGCCTTCCCAAATGCCGTTCCCTCTCCTTTTCACTAACGCCTACACATCTTTGTTTTGGAAAAAAAATTTCACATTTGCTTCTAATACTATCTGCTTACTATATCATTTGTGGTTGTTTGTTTTTTGTTAACCAGGGGTCAAACTCAGGACCTTGTGCTTGCGAGGCAGACAGTGGACCACTGAGCTAAATCCCTGGCCCTGTTTTTGTTTGTTTTTGAAAACAGGGTCTTGCTTTGTAGTTCAGGCTGGTCCTGAACTCACTATGTAGCCGAGGCTGGCCTCAAACTCTCTGAAATCCTCCTGTCTCAGCCTCCCAAGTGCTGGGATTACAGGCATGTGCTATCATGCCTGGCAATTTGCCTTCTTTAAATTAACTTAAATATTCACTACAAAGTCAGGGAGTGTGCTCATTTTGCTTACCAGTGTCACCCTACTGCCCAGCAAAAACATTCAGCTATGGCTGAACAAGAGGTCCAGGTTCTTGGCAGTGAGTATTCAGGCTAAAAGTAAAAAACTTATCAGCAGCATCAAGGTAGTTTAAGCTAAAGATTTCCAGGGAAAATTGATTGGAAAAAATGAGGACAAACCCGGAAAAACCAAAACATTTAAGAAGCAAACCAAGAAATGGAGCCCCCAAAGATGGTAAAGAACCCCCAGAGGCAGAAGACAGCAGGAACGAGCTGGGAAGGGAGAGCAGCAGCCAACGTTCAGATGCTCTGTGAGGGGACAGGCTGTAGGCTGGCAGGCTGGGGTCAGTCATTTCTAAGAGGAAGGGCCTGGAGTGGAGGAGAGGCCCCGCATGTGGTACCACAGCACCCCTGCTTGCCCCTGGGGCACCAAATGAAGTGTGGACTGGGCAGAGGCAAGTCACACGTTCCCAACTCCAAAACTCTGCCTGCCACCTCTCCCAACCCCGACTACCTCCTGCGACATCCCTCTCGGTCCCAACAGAGAAGAGTGGGACAAGGAAAAGGCTCACCTGGCAGATGCTACAGGAAATGAAGGAGTCTGGCTGGCAGGTAGGCCGCACCCTGCCTTGGCCTCATAGTGCCAGGCTCATGCTCTGAGACAGCCCAACCAGGCAAAATGCTAGGCCCACCCTCTGGGACAAACACAGACACACTCACACCCCTTTTCTGATATCTCTCTCTACCTTATGGACCACAAGGTCCTCTGCCTCTTGTAATGGAAGCACTGCCACTGTGATGGGGCAATCAGCTATCTACACAAGAACCTCTGCCCTCCTGAGGTCACGGTGGAATTACACAATGTTATATATATATGCCACAAGCCCCCTGCTTAACCTACATTATTCCTCTGGAACATTTTCCTCCTACACCCACCGTCTTCCAGGGGGCACAGCAGCCTGAATCCCACAGCAGCCTGTCCTTCTTTGAAGCATGCTAGACTTCAGTGGCTGTCACTTACAGTTTTTGTATGAAGTCTGCTTCCCTGACCTGAGTGTCAGGACCAGGTCTGCCCCCTCCTTTGTCTCACATATGCTCTGTCAGGACATTGACTCCCTGCCTGAAATGCATTCCAACTTACTCTTGGGTTCTCTTGGCTTCAGTCCTATCAGGTCGCTAAGCCTGGCTCCTTTACTCCCCATCTCCCATACAAGTCAATGTAGTCCTCCCTAAAAAGGTCACCATCATGTCCAGAGTAGCCCTGCTTCTGAACGATTGTGGTTTCACCACTAGGAGTTAAGGCAGGAGTAGAAAGCAAACAGGTGACTGACTGGTCACCGACCTTTTCAGGATCAGACCGTCACAGATCAAAGACATCCAGGAGCCAAAGTCTCAGTCTACTGAAGCCTGGAAAGGTCTCACACTCAATGGTCATGCCAACTTGGTGAGCATGTGGCACAGACAAAAAGGTGAACAAACAGATCCAGTCCTCAAAGTCCAACAGTACACACCAAGACAGGCCTTTATCCACTACAGCCTATTTGCTTTCTCCTTTAAAAAAGAAAAAGAAGCCAGGCTGGGGATGTAGCTCAGCGATGCAGCGCCTACCTGGCAAGCATGAGGCCCCGAGTTCAATTCCCAGTACCAAAGAAAAAGAAAAAGAAGCCAGGTGTGGTGGTGCACACCTGTAATATTAGCACCGGGGAAGCTGAAGCAGGAGGATCACTGGGGAAGCTAAGGCAGGAACCAGTTCCAGGCCAGCCTGGGTTACACAGTGTGTTCAAGCCTGGCCTGAACTCCACAGCAAAACCCTGTCTCAAAAAAAGAAAAAAGGTTAGAAATGTAGCTCAGTGAGTGCCCCTGAGTTTGAGACTCAGTACCACCAAAAAGAAAGGAAAAAAAAGAGCTAGCAAGAGAAAGAAGAAAATGAAGTAGAATACTATTTCCCCAGAAATGATACTCATCCTTCCCAGAGAGAACTGATTTTCTCTGGCAAACAGAATCAAAGCTCAGAGAACAGGCTTCTACAGCCACTCTGAGGTAATCTTTATTTATTTATGTAGGTACCAGGGATCGAACCTGGGACCTTGGGCTTGCAAGGTAGGCGGCGGAACCACTGAACTAAACCCCCAGCCCTGAGGTATTGTTTTAAAAATTTTATCCGTACATAATGATCACATTCATCATAGGGAGTTGGTACATGTATATAATACGTCTTAATTCTTTTTACACCCCTTTCTCTTCCCTTCCCTCCCTCCATCTCTTGGTCCCCTTCTCATTTGCAAAAAAAAAATCTATTCCCCTGTTTCCTATTAGCTAACTTTTATTTTGCTCTTTATTTATATTTTGGGTTTCTCCTGGTATTCTCTGACAAGGCGGGAAAGTGCTCAAGGTGTCCCTTTTTGTGACTCCAGGAAGAGAGGGGAAAAAATATTCTAGTGCATCGTTTTAACTCCCAGCACTCCAGGAGGCTGAAGCAGGAGGACAGAAAGTTCAGGCTCACCCTGGACAACTTACCAAGACCTTTAAAAAAAATATTAAAAGGGTCTGGAGATGCGGCCCAGCGCAAAGACCTTGGGTTCAAACCCCAGTACTGGGATGGGGGGGGGGCAATACAAAACATCAGCATTGGTACGAGAGGTAAATGAGGAAGGCAGCCCAACACAGGGCAGACTAAACACTGAAAAAAGGGAAGGATTCCGGTCCAGGCTGCCTAGAGCAGGTGGAGACAGCAGTTCAAGTCAGCCCTTCCTGACCCGTGAAGTTGGCAGACACGGGACAGCGGGGAGCACGGTGCCTGCCTTCCCCGCAGCAGAGCCATGTCCCTGGAGACACGCAATCGCAGGGGCGCCTGCCACGCGCTCACCTCGCTCCTCCTCCCTCAGTCCAGTCCGAGCTGTGTTCTCAACAGCCGATAAAGTCAGCTTTTAGAAAAATCTCGGTTTCCATCACAGATACAAACACTCCGCTCCTCCCACCCGGACAACAGTGATTAGCAGCAACGTCGTAAGCAGAGCACTGCGTCCACAAGTCGGTTCAAGTCCTAACTGGCTCGCCGTGGCCAATTTCTAGGCTTTGAACGGAAAACGACAGCCCGTGTGCGAAGCGCTTCACAAAGGCGAGTGACGAACCTGCCGGAGGCCCCGACCTGCGTGCCCCGAGGGTTGCACACCGCCCGGGGCGGCGGCAGTCTGCTCCCCACCGGCCCTCGCTGCCT